AAACCCGCTCTGTTGAATTTTAAACCGAATGGAAAGACTTTCAAAGTAGTTAGCTAACAATGATCTCCTTTAGGCTGAGGTAAATGATTCTGCTGGGACGAATCATTCCAGACAGTTCAGACAGCTTTTAAACCAGCCATGACATGGCATCCGTCCCCTGCAGACACGTCTGAGACAGTCATACTAAGCCAAATTAACACCCACATCAATAATAATAATCTTTATTTTTATATAGCGCCTTTAAAGCAGCTTCTCAAGGCACTTTACATAATAAAACAAACAGATAAAAATACAACACATGCAGAACATCAGTTAGAATCTCTGAACTGACATTAATTCAATTAGCATTTTAATAACAACACTATAGCAAACACAGACTTCAAGCAGAATGAGCATCTGTTTACTAGTACAAGCAGCAGCATCTACCCCATCTGCAACATTTAAAGTACTTAAAAACACATATTTTGGACAAAATGCACAGCACTCACCACCACAATAAAGCACTTCTGCATTCTCAAAGCCCAATGTGCTATAGGTCGGGTCCAGGCCCTCGCAGTAATTGGCTACATCCATGTCTAACAAGGATTTAGGAAGAGGAGTTGGTGAAAACTTCATCCCTGCCTGGCTATCTCTACTTAAAGTCGTCCCGGGACAGTGTCTCTTGGAGAGAGAACTGAGGACAAGCCTTAGGTTGACCATTTCTTCAGAATGCTGATTTGTCATCTTCTAAGACAAGGGAGGAGCTTTGGCCAAGACTCCTCACCTCCTTGAACAGAACTTATCTTCTCACCTTATCCTATACTTATCAGAAGGATGAAGAGATAACAGTATTCGTTCCAGAAAGTAATACAAGGTTTTATTGGTGCAGCCAAACCAACAGGCCCTATTCTCAGGCAAAATGACATTCTTACAAAGTAATGCACCGTCCCAAAACCCAAAACTGTTGTACTGTAAATCAGTGGTGTTTTTTTAATTGGTCAAATAAATTTACAAAAATGTATATTTAAAAACGAGGTAAGCTATACAGCAGTTCCAGAATTCTGTTGCAATTATCGAAGTATTATAGACATAATTTGCATTCGTCTGACACAAATTCTGTTTTGTATGTTAACATTTATTTAAATTAGAAGAATTATTTGAATGTAATATTTTGAATCTATGAGTCATTGATGAGACATTTTTCTTAAAGAGTTTATTTATTCACCCTCATTTCCTTCCAAACCTACAATGTAAAGATTTTTCAAAGATGTAAAAAAAATAAATAAAAAAAGGTTTTACAAAAATTATAATTTTAGTCTTTCTACTTCTAAATTTCACATTTAATTCATTGAAATGTACTAGCAATTTCTTAGTAAATATTTTTTTTAAGTAAATCTTATACCGATTTTTGTGTATATTACTTTCTTCTTTTCTGTGGAACAAAAAAGTAGAGGCTCTAAAAAAAATTACTTTGAAACAATATTCACTAATAAATAGCTTCTTTTTTTTGGGCCATACAATGAACATCAATCGGGTCTATTTTCTTTCTTCTTCTTTTTTTTTTTTTGACCCCAGAACAAAGAAATTCATACTGGTTTGGAATGACATGAGGGTAAACTATCTTTTTAAGAGTTTTAAAAAATAAATAAAAACACAAATAAGACATATTACTGCAGTGCTGTCAGTCCTGTACAATGCATGTGCAAAGCCATAAAGGAAACAAATATTTGGTTTCTTTAAGAGTTTGTCCGATTTTTAAAAATCTGCGGGTTTTACAAGTAGGCTACTCTGTTTTCTGTACATTATATTGTCTTGTGGTGCAATTTAATCAACTAGAAAGTCAAACAGAATAGCACCATTGCTGTACAAGCAGTGACCATAACAAAAAAGAAAAAGAAAAAGAAAGAAAGACAACAAAATATAAAAATAAAATAAAATAAATATTAAATAGATTGAAGGATTTGAGCTTAGATTCAGTAAGCACAGGGATACTCCGATGCCACATCACACTTACTGTTACATTTTAACTTCACTTTAACTTCAACAAACAATGTTTTAAATGAGGAAGTGCTCAAATGCTCACGTGATAAGAGTTTAGATGAGGCCATCTATTTTATGTTATCTATTTTCAATAGCATTACACCTCAATATCAGCTCCAATGCAGAAAGATGAGTATACTGTACTTAAAATCACATTGCATAATACTCCCTACATTACTAGCTAGTTGATCTGTCATACCACTTCAACAGTAAAATAAATTCAAGATCAAACTAGAATTGTTTGAAAGTAAAATATCACCCCATGACTGTGAAAAACTCACAGTATCAAGGCAGTATATTCAGTTTTACATAAAAGAGCCCATTAATGTCACGTCTACACAGGCAACTGAAATAACTACGATCTGACCTAAATTATATTAAGGCATATTTTTAATGTAAAAGGCGACCTTTTAAAGTATTAACAAAGCAAATATAATTGTGACAATGTAAATGACAAAATAAATATTTTAAAACATTCCTTCAGCAATATTGGCTATAAAATACGAAATATAATAGTATAATAAGCACTGCTTATTTGTTTTCACGACATAAAATATCAGAAAACACATAAATCCTGACTGTTTTCTATATGAAACACCTATACATTTATATTTGTCAATACGAAAAATAATAATAATAAAACACAAATCGAGACTAACCTCATTTAAGGAATGCTGACGTCACAACTGCACGAGCGATACTTTCTTTAACGTTACCGTCAAAATGTTGTAGCAAGGAATTCTTTAAGACTACATCGCCAGGTAAAAGGTAGGAACGTTTTAACGGGTTTTTTTCTTCTTCTTTAACTGGCCCACAATTCAATGACCGCAACTCAAAGCTATCTGGTCTTACCTTCTCCACGTCCAACAACGATTTGCATTAATCCACCAAAACCCAAACGCCCTGTGTCAAAAAAAATATGCTAATAAATATGATATTTATGCTTTTATAGAGAGCAAATGAAGTGTTTGACATGTTAAAATCCTCACATTGGACAATACTTTTGGTGGTGTTGGGGGAGCCTCATTAGATCGATTTACTAAACAAACTGAAAGTTGGGTGGAGATGTTAAACAGTAACTAGGCCCAATAAAACACAAGACATGAATCGTTTTGCCTGTGCGTGGGTTCACACCGTAAAGAACACGGACAAATGAAGCCTAAAGTCAAGAAGGAAAACATTTGAATTTATAATATCATAAATATGTAACAGGCACTTTTGTGAGCCTACTTATACCTTATACCCTGATGGCTCAACTCCTAGTTTTACAGAAATATCGTTTTCCTTTTCAACTACCTCAGATCGGGTCTTTGACGTTCTCCAATTTTATCAGAAGAGGGCGCCAAATCTCTATTTTCCTCCCTCTCAATGAGAGGTCGAACATCGTTTGGCCATTGTCTTATCACATAACTGAACATAAAATCATATTTAAAACTCATATATTTAAACCATCGAGTGTTTTCATTTCTGCATGAGTCTAAAATCGTCCCCAAAAATGAAAACAAATGACGTGCTATCCCTCGCGAGCTGTGTCTATAGACTGGTTGTGTCGCGAGTTATTGGCTAAAAAAATGTGAAAACCTAGAGAGATAAACGTAATAGAAAACTCAAAAACAGAGTTGTCATTTTTAGTTCATCGTGACTCATTCTCTGCACTACACTGATGTTTATGCAGTTCAAATGCTCTCTAAAATAGGAATGCCACCACATCCCAGCTCACAATAATATGTGCTAATAACGTTCGCAATTTACCATTAAGGTATGAACATGGTCTCTGAATGTTCAAAACATCCTTTTTTTTTTCTTTTTTTTTAATGTTTAAAAAAATCTTAAGTTATGTAAACACTAGAGAGAGAAAAAAGTGAACGTTCCATTTTGTCAAAATGGGAGCGTTCTGGGAACGTTATGGATTACTTTTGAAACATGTGTTGTGTCGCGGAGCCAATGATACATTTCTTCAATGTAGTCAATGAAGTTCGAGAAGCAGAATTCCAGATGTTAAAATAAGACTTTATTAAACAAAGTAACAAAGCCAAGATAACGGTAACCGCATCTGAGGTCTCTGTCTGTCCGCGCATCCGTTTTATACCTTTTTCTCTTACCAAAGTTGGTAGTTCCGGTTTTTTATTGGTTATGCCTGTCTGGTTTGCCACAATTTATTACTAGCCCACCTGGTCCATTTTTTAATGTTGGAATTTGGCCAAATCAACCATTTTTTAAAAACTTTCATTTTGCCGCCTCCCATTGGTTGGCGGTGGTCACATGAGACATTCATCAAATCTGTTTACTCGTTCCTGTCAACTTCTGGAAATCACCCAGAGTTCGTTGGGTTATTCAAGTTCACTGGTACAATCCAATAGAAACCACCGGTACTGCCCAATGGAAGGGCCCTCATACATACAATCCTTATTAAGACATCCAGTATTGGGAATAATTCAACATATTGATTAGTATATTGATTACTTTCATGATTATACATCATATTTTAAGTAAGATAATACCATATTGAGTAAATAACATAATAGGTAATAGAATTACACAATACATGTAGGCTAATAAGTAAGTTATAACGTTTCAAAAACGTTAGGAATGTCCAACTAAGATGTTTTAGGAGAAAAGAAAGCCTTCCTTGAACGATGTAGGCTATTTGTGCTGACGCTTTGCGATCACATTTGAACGAACGTTCTATTATTGTGGAAGAACGTTTATTCATACCCTTGCCAGAACATAATTAGCCAAAGTTCTGAGAACATAAGCCTTAAATTCACTGAGATGCATTTTTTAGAAATTAGTTCAGTTATTGTGTATTGAGTAAATAAAATAGTTGTCAAAGGTTCGCTGTAAAATTAACCCTTGAAATCAAATGTATTTTGCTCTTCTATCTCCTCAACAGCATGACAGTACAGATATCAAAATAAACGTCATTTCAAATCATCTGAGAGACTTGAATACCAGGATAACCAACACACCATTATCACTACTATCGAATGATAGCATTGTTACTGTTACTTTAATATATAGGCCTAGCCTACCATGCTACATTGTATTTGTCATGGTACAAGAAATTACATGATAAAAAAAATAAAAACAAACAGGTCTGCTTTTCAAACAATGTAAAAAGCTTTCAGAGTCACAGATGATTGTATTAACCACTATTTTGGCACAAATTACAGCTAACATGGTATAGGCTACGGTTTCCAGCTTCACATCTGCAGACCTTTAGTGATGCGGAAAATAGCGTCTATATATGTACAGTTTTTATCCGCTTTATGTCCAGCACACTTTACATATGCTCTTCCCTGTGAACGTCAGCATGTCGAAACACGTAAGCCCGGTGATGGCCAGAAACACTTCATTGATCTGATGAAGGTCTTTAGTGTTGTTCAGGTATTGCAGCCGAAAAAGGTGGTAAGGTACCAGGCAAGTGAGCAAGATGAGTACAAAGCTGAGGTTTTTTATTTGGACCCAAAACTCCTGCTGGGAGCTGCTGGTGGCTCCGTACTTGAGTATCATCTGGCGTAGGATGATCACCTGGATGCAGGTCTGAAAACACGACACGGTGATAATAAGGATGGACAGAACCATGTTCAGGGCGTAGACATAGTGGTCCTGTAATTCATCCCCAAATTTGAAGCACTGGTTTTCTGGTATGGTTTTGTGTCCGTATTGTATCAGCACGAGGGGCAGCATGATGATTAACAGGATGCACCACACTAGAACGCTCGCGCCCAGCCCGTGCAGCCGCCTGTAGAACTCAGTCCGCTGCGTTTTCTTGTAAAAATGCAGGAAGCGAACCGTAAGAAGAATGGAGTAGATGGTGAACACCATGTATATGTGGATATGCACCATGGCGCTGACCAGTTTACAGAATCCCTGACCCAGCTGCCATGTTTGGGACGCGTAGTAGTAGATTCTGAATGGCACGGTGAGCAGGAAAAGAAAGTGTGCGACCATCAAGTTCAGGAAGGCGATGGTGATTAACGAGCGAATGTTGGTTTTTAGCAGGCTGATCATGACGGTTAAGCCCGTGATGCCCACCAGAAGGACTACAGTGTAGATAATGATCAGGGCGACTCTGTAGGGCTCGGTGAGGTGGGCCGGAGGGGCTGTTGGAGTTGGGTTGGTTGTCACTGCGGGGCTGGTGGTGTTGTCTACTGTGGTGTTCATCGTCATGGTTCCTAGTGAGAAAACATACTGGAAGACAAGCGTGATAAAGTTATTTAACAGATGCAAAATGCATCTGCATTGTTTTTCTTTTAGTTTTGTAGCGATTTAACAATTTTATTCATAAGCAATAATTCAAAAAGTTTTAAAATTAATTTAAGCTTAAAAGGGTAGTTAAAATGGGAATTCTGTAATCATTTACTCACCCTCATGTCGCTCCAAACCTGTAAAACTTTCTTTTTGTGTGATATCACAAAATATATTTGGAAGAATGTTAATCAAAGTTTTATTTTCCATTGACTTCCACTGTGTGAAGATAAAAAACACTTAAAATATTTTTGTTCCACAGGGGGGGAAAAACGTTTTACAGGTTTGGAACGACATGAGGGTGAGTAAATATCGACGAAAAATTCTATTCTGTTACACTTTACAGAAAGGTTTCATCTGTTAACATTAGTTACCTTCATCAGATAGCATGAATGAATAATGAAAAACACTTAAAAACCATTTATAAATCCTAGTTAATGTTAATTTGCGGGGCATAGAGGAGAAACAATAATGTACAGTATGTGGAAAATAATGTATTTTTTTTACTTTAAACCGCATAAACACATTTCATTACACCAAATACACAAAATAATGTTCTTTTTAGCAGCATCATATGACCCCTTTAAAATCAAAGTTGTATCTGTTCATATTATGTAACTGACCTGAGCTAACATGAACCAACAATGAATCTAAAGTTAACAAAGATTAAATATTAATACAAATGTATTGCTCATTGTTAGTTGATGTAAGTTAATGCATGAACTAATGGAAACTTATTGTAGACTGTTACCAGCTATATAAGTTTACAGTTTGAGTATAGGTAACAGTTTTACTATAGTGTAGATCTGTAGAAACAGACCAATAAAAAGCCAATGTATAAGTAAATGTATTCTATAAATCCTTTTTGCACTCCTTTAAAATACTTCATGTATCTCTGTAGCTCTTTTGAAAGTGCCAAACAAGCTACAAACTACTTTATGTATACATGTTTCCGTTCAGAAAATCAGATGAAAGCAAGACATTTCAACTATCTATTTCAACACAGTGCACTTAAAATGTTAAAATTTGTTTACTTGCTCAAAATTAACAGCCTTATGAGACAATAAAAGCAAGATACGTACCCTCAGAACGGCAACACAGAAGTCCACAATGGCAGAGCAGATGAGGAAGTAATGTTTGTTGCATCTGCTCCTCACTCATTCAGTTTTAACACATTCTCTCGATGAGGTAGCCAGTCTGCTGTTTGTTTTCATGGTTCACGTTGTTGCATTTGACACTTCAGTTTAGGTGGCCAACCTCAAAAACAATGAGAGTCACGTTGCCAAACAACCTTAAACAAACCTTCAGATTCCAGTTATGATAGAAATACTGCAAGATCACAGCCATCTGGCATTTCTGTTCTCTACATGGAGGAGTCTGAATGTATTGTCATAGTGCCTCTTAGAATTCTCTGTTGGTAGACACTACGAGTATCATTAAAATCTTAATGGCGCTCAATAGTGTCTAGTCTTAAGCTGACATGGTTTGTGGTTTTCCCGTGTGCTTGTCACAGCTGCAGGGGGGATGTGCTTACGTTTTTAATGGACACTGATATGAATGTGAATGATGTGAATTAAACTAATGTGTTTCTGAACAGACTATAATAAAATTTACATATATTAAAAAAATACGTAAAATATTCGGTATATAATGTTATATTATATAATTTAATTCATATGTCAATGCTATTAATGACCGTTTTAGCTACACTACCATTTAAAAGTTAGGAGTTAGTAATATTTTTTTGTTTTTTTAAAGAAGTCGCTTATGCTCACCACGGCTGCATTTATTAAAATATTGTGAAATATTATTACAGTTGAAAGTAACTTTTAGATTTGAATACATTTTAAAATGTAATTCATTCCTGGGATGGCAAAGCTAAAATTTTCAGCAGCCATTACTTCAGTCTTCAGAGTCACGTGATCCTTCAGAAATCATTTTCAGACGCTGACTTGCTTCTCAAAAAACATTTCTTACTGTTATCAATTTCTAATAACAAAATTGAATCCTTGCGGTATAAAAGTATGAATTTTTTTTCCCCTACAAAAAAATCGTATTGACTCAAATTTTTTGACCAGTTGTGTATGTGCTGTGTGTTTTATTTGCACCGTCATTTGGTAATGTGCTGACAAAGAGCAAGATCAGTGTTGTTGTTTTTTCCATTATTATTATTAAAGGCATGACACTAAATGTAAATGTTTATTGTAAATAAATAATTTTATACATTTACATAATATTAAAACACAGTATTATAAAACTACACATTTACCATAATACCATCTGAGAATTAGATCCCAGTTAAAATCAGCAGAAATAAGTACAGTAACATTCCTCACCTTCGTCATAACTCATACAGTACATATACAGAGACATAATCAAGTACTTTCCCTTTAAAATAAATCAGTCTTGTGGCCTTTTTTCCCCTTAAGTCCCAGAACTAAAATACCTGTAAATCCGCTGTATGTATTAACAGCAGATCACTTTCTTTATTAGTTATACCATACAAAGTCTTCCTATTATAAGATGCAGAGTCATAAGTGTTAAGTAACAATGATGTTAAGAAATACCCAGAAACAGGAAAACCCCACTCTTAACATCAGTCATATTATTGTACTATTGAATGCTTGTTTTTTGCACCTTGTAAACATTAGGAGGGAGGTCCTGGTACTAGGTTGTCACCTAAAGTGCATCTTTCGTTTCCTTCCAATGAGGATTCTCTTGGAGGTTAAAATGTGCGTCATGACGCTCAGCAACATGAGGAAGATGGTCATGGACATTACGATGACATAGTGACTAATACTGCAACACAGAAGAAACATTTTATCATATTTGTGCATTTACACATGTACAAAAACGGACACAAACCAAACTGAGCTTGTGGTCAGTTTGGTTAAGAGGATGGAAGCTAAAACAAGAAGTACAATACAGTTAACCCACCTAGTGCCTATGTCAAGCCAGCTTCCATGATCTTTTACTAAGAAAAAGAAGTGCTGGTGAAAAAGAACAGAGATAAGTTAGGATAATTAGTAAAAAAAAATTAAAAAAGAAGAATCAACTTTTATGCAATTTAATTTTGCCATTATTTGTCATGTTCTCTATGCTAAGCTTACCAATGCCATCAAGTCTGAGATGACAAGCACAACGAGGAAAAGGCTAGAAAATAAATGCAGAATTTATGTAAACTTATGCAAAAACAATGTCATAAAGCAATCTAATATACATAAAATATTTTGTTCTGCCTGAGCAGGAACATATCCTTGTTTGGACGTTTTTTTTGTTGTTGTTGTTTTTAACAAGTACCCTACCAAAGCCCAGTTGTTTGCAGTCAACAAGGAAGTGTCTGTGAAGCGCTTGAGCACAAATATAGCAAATGCTTGAAGAAGTGGTCAGTCTGCAGACAATGTGGGCAAAAAGAGAAAGACCAGCTGGTTTCCTGCTGTTCTAATTATTCTGCTAATTACCTTCGTGATGAGAGCTGTGTTGACACTTGAATGCTTTCGAATGTGCACATCACAATTACAAATGGAATTAACACCTGAAAAAGGATGCAACCGTTAAAAGAAGCATAATAGCACAAATACCTGTGGCGCCCATGCCACTAATAAAAAAAAAAGAAAAAAAAAAAGAGCGTCAATCTGAAACTTTATGTTGAGCAAGCGCTATACCTTCCACATCAGCAGGCCGCCCATGATGAAAGGATTGAAGACGGTCAGAAAGCAGTAAACTGAGGCTGGATCAAAACTGTGAGGGAAGATAAAAGGCACAATTAATTTATTTTAGTTTATTTTATAGCAATATTTTTCTTAAAAACAAGCAGCTTACCTATTAATAGAGGCAATGTTACCACAGCCAAAGAATGCAATTATAATGAAAAACACCTATTCCAACAGTTAAGGAACTATATTATTTTAAACAGTGTAAGCATTTTTCAATAATCAAAAGACACAAATCAAACAGTCTGTAGTCCAAAAGGATGCAAAGAAGTAAGATCTCCGAATGTCATCCAGCCTCAGCTGCCTGATCTTGGTAATGTCAATGTTTTCAGCAAAATCAGTGCTGGAGAGCTGAGAAAACGGGAAAACGGTACAATCAATGGTCTGTCTACTGTTACTTTGATACATAAACTTTACACAATGCTATACACCTTTTTTTTTTTTTACACACAGGCTGAAGGGAAGCCCCTAAAGAATAAGCCTAGAGGAGGAGGGGACCTACCTCAGTCCGATTTGAACTCCCTTGCGTGTTCATGGTTTCCTGCTCAATGTTTATCCATGCAAACATGAGCCATGACAGCACCGGAGGAAACAGAGCCTCATACCTTCACAATTTACAAACCAAATATCTATTAGAATAAGGGCTTTCTTTTTAAAATATTAATTTTGAATAAATTATAATTAAATTTAGAATAAATCTCAATAGGAATAACATATTAAAAAAATTATTTGTAATTCATTTGATTTATTAATCAGAACATCATGTGATTTGATTAATATTTTAAGAATATACACTACAGTTCAAAAGTTTAGGGTCAGTAAGAAAAAAGAGATACTTCACAATAATAATGTTACAAAAGATTTCTATTTCAAATTAATGCAATTTTTTTTTTTTTTACTTTCTATTCATCAAAGTAACCTGAAAATAATAAGAATGTTTATTGAGCACCATAAATCAGTCTTGTGGCCTTTTTTCCCCTTAAGTCCCAGAACTAAAATACCTGTAAATCCGCTGTATGTATTAACAGCAGATCACTTTCTTTATTAGTTATACCATACAAAGTCTTCCTATTATAAGATGCAGAGTCATAAGTGTTAAGTAACAATGATGTTAAGAAATACCCAGAAACAGGAAAACCCCACTCTTAACATCAGTCATATTATTGTACTATTGAATGCTTGTTTTTTGCACCTTGTAAACATTAGGAGGGAGGTCCTGGTACTAGGTTGTCACCTAAAGTGCATCTTTCGTTTCCTTCCAATGAGGATTCTCTTGGAGGTTAAAATGTGCGTCATGACGCTCAGCAACATGAGGAAGATGGTCATGGACATTACGATGACATAGTGACTAATACTGCAACACAGAAGAAACATTTTATCATATTTGTGCATTTACACATGTACAAAAACGGACACAAACCAAACTGAGCTTGTGGTCAGTTTGGTTAAGAGGATGGAAGCTAAAACAAGAAGTACAATACAGTTAACCCACCTAGTGCCTATGTCAAGCCAGCTTCCATGATCTTTTACTAAGAAAAAGAAGTGCTGGTGAAAAAGAACAGAGATAAGTTAGGATAATTAGTAAAAAAAATTTAAAAAAGAAGAATCAACTTTTATGCAATTTAATTTTGCCATTATTTGTCATGTTCTCTATGCTAAGCTTACCAATGCCATCAAGTCTGAGATGACAAGCACAACGAGGAAAAGGCTAGAAAATAAATGCAGAATTTATGTAAACTTATGCAAAAACAATGTCATAAAGCAATCTAATATACATAAAATATTTTGTTCTGCCTGAGCAGGAACATATCCTTGTTTGGACGTTTTTTTTGTTGTTGTTGTTTTTAACAAGTACCCTACCAAAGCCCAGTTGTTTGCAGTCAACAAGGAAGTGTCTGTGAAGCGCTTGAGCACAAATATAGCAAATGCTTGAAGAAGTGGTCAGTCTGCAGACAATGTGGGCAAAAAGAGAAAGACCAGCTGGTTTCCTGCTGTTCTAATTATTCTGCTAATTACCTTCGTGATGAGAGCTGTGTTGACACTTGAATGCTTTCGAATGTGCACATCACAATTACAAATGGAATTAACACCTGAAAAAGGATGCAACCGTTAAAAGAAGCATAATAGCACAAATACCTGTGGCGCCCATGCCACTAATAAAAAAAAAAGAAAAAAAAAAAGAGCGTCAATCTGAAACTTTATGTTGAGCAAGCGCTATACCTTCCACATCAGCAGGCCGCCCATGATGAAAGGATTGAAGACGGTCAGAAAGCAGTAAACTGAGGCTGGATCAAAACTGTGAGGGAAGATAAAAGGCACAATTAATTTATTTTAGTTTATTTTATAGCAATATTTTTCTTAAAAACAAGCAGCTTACCTATTAATAGAGGCAATGTTACCACAGCCAAAGAATGCAATTATAATGAAAAACACCTATTCCAACAGTTAAGGAACTATATTATTTTAAACAGTGTAAGCATTTTTCAATAATCAAAAGACACAAATCAAACAGTCTGTAGTCCAAAAGGATGCAAAGAAGTAAGATCTCTGAATGTCATCCAGCCTCAGCTGCCTGATCTTGGTAATGTCAATGTTTTCAGCAAAATCAGTGCTGGAGAGCTGAGAAAACGGGAAAACGGTACAATCAATGGTCTGTCTACTGTTACTTTGATACATAAACTTTACACAATGCTATACACCTTTTTTTTTTTTTACACAGAGGCTGAAGGGAAGCCCCTAAAGAATAAGCCTAGAGGAGGAGGGGACCTACCTCAGTCCGATTTGAACTCCCTTGCGTGTTCATGGTTTCCTGCTCAATGTTTATCCATGCAAACATGAGCCATGACAGCACCGGAGGAAACAGAGCCTCATACCTTCACAATTTACAAACCAAATATCTATTAGAATAAGGGCTTTCTTTTTAAAATATTAATTTTGAATAAATTATAATTAAATTTAGAATAAATCTCAATAGGAATAACATATTAAAAAAATTATTTGTAATTCATTTGATTTATTAATCAGAACATCATGTGATTTGATTAATATTTTAAGAATATACACTACAGTTCAAAAGTTTAGGGTCAGTAAGAAAAAAGAGATACTTCACAATAATAATGTTACAAAAGATTTCTATTTCAAATTAATGCAATTTTTTTTTTTTTTACTTTCTATTCATCAAAGTAACCTGAAAATAATAAGAATGTTTATTGAGCACCAAATCAGATTTATCGGAAGAATGGAGTAATAGCTGCTGAAAATTCAGCTTTGCCATCACAGGAATACATTACATTTTAAAATATATTTAGATAGAAACGTTTTGTTTTTTTAACTGTAACAATATTTCTTATTATTAACATTTTACTGCAATTTTGATAAAATAAAAGCAGCCTTGGTGGGAATATAAGGCTTCCTTAAAAAATAACCAGCACCAAACTTTTGAATTTGGACGGTAGTGTATTATTTAATTCTTAATTAATTATTCATTAGAATATTGTCTGTATAACTGAAACGGTCTCAAACCGGTCAGCAGCTGAACTGAAAACTTTTGCAACTTATTTGCTTACTGTAAGCACTATGTGGTTTGTTTATGAATTCCATTTCCTTAGACAGGCAACCTCAAGAGGAGAATTTGTCTAAACTATCATGCTGGATTACTGTTAAGCATAGCATGGACATAGCATAGCATAGCATGATTAGATCAATGGTCAGTGGCTTTTACCCTGTGCTCAGGAGGAGGTAGACACAAACTAAGGACATCAGGATACTCAGAAGTCTGTGAAAGAGCCTGGTGGAACTCAACAACGGTATCAAAAATGAGGAAACTAAAAGAAAAAAAACAGTGTGAGAGAACGGGAAAGAGTATGAACAGGATGGAAGAAAAGAAGAAGTGCAGTTCCTTGGTTAAAAGTCATGCATCAAGGGTTCGTCACACCATTTACTCATGTCATTTCAGATCTTTATGACTTTTTTCTGCACAAAAGAAAATATTTTGGGGTTCCAACTTTCAAAATAACACTGGACCCTTTTGACTTTTCTCTAAATATCTTCTTTAGTGTTCCACAGCAGACAGAAAATCTTACAGATTTGGAATGACATGAGGGCGAGTAAACAATGACAGAATTTTATGGGTGAACTATCCCTTTAATACAGTGTGTATTGGTAACAGAGCATCATGGGAATGGAGATGGCAAACCTAGTGTGAGCCAGCTAACAAGCTGGTTGAAGAGTGGCAAGCCTTGCTTCAGCTGCAGACTGGAGTGTGTGCTGGTCAGGATGTAAGCACACAGCACCACCTGCATCATCTGGAAACAAATGCACACAAATAGGATTCTCAGATTAGTTTAAAGTAGGATACATTTAGATGTAGTCCCGATTTAGCCCATACAGTAATAAATTAATTAATTAATAAAATATCTGGCCAAAATATATTTTCAAATTTTTTTTTTTTAGCCCTTTATTTTAATTTTTTTTTTTAAAAAATAAATAAAAAACACTTTTCCCTTTTAGACTTGCGCTCTATTCATTTGCTGCTTGTTTTGCTCTATTCTTTTTCTATCTGTTTTCTTTTTATTTATTATATTATAAAAAAAAAAAAACTTGCTACGTGTACTGCGTTAAGCTAACTGAGACTTGTTAGAGCACTTGTATATCATTGCTCTTTTGTTGATTTTGATTGCATCCATTGTCCTCATTTGTAAGTCGCTTTGGATAAAAGCGTCTGCTAAATGACTAAATGTAAATGTAAATATATGCTATATATATGTTGTAATGAACCTCAATGAAATACATTTTTGAAATTGAAAATACATTTATTTATATAAAGGTTCTACTTTCATATTTCAAAATGTATTTCAGGGGCAAGAAAATACATTTCCAATCTCACAGTGGCCTACATTTAGGCTAAATGCAAGTGTGAAAGGAATAGCCCACTAGAGATCAAAACTAGATGTTGTATCCACTATATAAAATGTGTTAAAATAATTAGATTCTGAAATACTTCACAGTAGAGTAACAGGAATGTATATTTGCTTGTTTCTGTCTGCTGCTGTTGCAAGAGATTTCATACAATTTCACCAGAGATAATCAGCAACAGGAAATGCAGTGTATACTATAACAGACAAATATGGAGACCATATGAACCTCTAATGTTACGGAGGATCTTTTGTTTTAATTTCCATGGGCTTTTGGGATTTGAATGGCATTATTTTGACGTTCTTATTAACCTATTACTCTATCTGTTTCCCAGTTGCATTTTGGTCATTACTTCTTAGTGTATTTACTGTATAGCCCTTGTGTTCTCCCTGACTTTTGTTCTGTGCACCTACTTTTTCATTTTTTTAAGTTTAGAGTAGTTTGCCTTAATTACCTGGTTTTCATGTTGTGTCCTTCTCTAGCTTGCCTGAAACTACTCTTTACAGAACTATATCCTGGATAACTGTTTTTAAACACAGGGTTTCCCAAATGGAATTTGCAGGCACCTAGGGGGGTTCATTAGGGAACTGCAGTGTAATAATAAATTAAATCATAAAAATAAGTAAATAATTTAAAAACAATCAAAATGAAACCCTTACTAAAACTGCATGTCGTGTGACCATTAACCGAAATCAAAGAACCGCGGACATGCAAATGTGTTGTTAAAATATTCAAAAATTTCACCTAAAATCTCGGGGTATGTCAAGTAAATATTTTACATTAAAGGGATTTGGTTGAGAAAAACGTTTGGGAATCTCACATTCAGATGCTGTTCGGAGACAGAATCTGACCTCAAATGTGTGCACCAAAATGTTTATGGTGAAAATGTCTAGGAGAGTGAAAAAGGACAAAAAGAAAGAGTCAAAAATGACCTGGCAGATGAACAGCTGACGATCCCTTCGGATCAGAGGAGAGCATCTCCATGATGACCAGAGGTATGAGGACGAGTTGAAGAGGGTCAGCACTCCAGCGCAAATTCTACAATGAAACATGTTCAATTTAGAAGATAAACCTTCTGACACCATTCAGCATCACTAAACAGAGAGTATAAATGTGTTTAACAGGTTAAAAGAAGAAAATGAACACAAATCATTGTGTGTGTAACAGGATTGGGCATCAGTAAGTGAACAAAGAGTGCTCACACATAGTTAACGTCTGGTTCCCGTCCCACCACAGGCAACAGTGGAAACACAGCCAGAAAGAGACAGCTCAACATCCAGCTCAATGACCTGAACTACAGTAGTATAAAAAGGCAAAACAAGTCTTAAAAAACACTCCTTTAAGACCTCAAACCAGAACAGGCCTTGAGAAGGTCACCTTACCTTTGCTTTTGTGTAAAGGCCAGAAACCATAGGCCACAGTGCCAGCACCACCAGCCCCAAGGTCAACATGGCCCGATAGAAAAAACTCACAACCTAATAAACACCAGCAGAGAGGAAATGAAAGAAGTGAAATAGTTAACACCTCTAATTACTACTAAGTGCTAAACAGTTCTAACACTCCAAACAGGACAACAGAATTCAGCTAATCGAGCACTTACTAGTAACTCAATTCCAAACGTAACCAGCAAAAAATATCCAAAGCATTTGCTGAGTGGTAATGAGGGGACTGATCGAACCAGACTGGCAAGAGTTTCAAATCTGTGACAGAGAGAAAACACACAAACTCCAAAAATCAAATAAGGGGGGAAAACAGACCTGGTATAATGTTTATAATATTTATGACTTATGTGTCCTCCAGAAGCTTGCGTTCTGCAAGTGAACAGCGCATCACAGTGCCATCTCGCAAAATCACTTTCATTGAGTTTTAACTGTTCCCTGCTGGTGGAATGACCTGCCCAACTCAATCTGAGCAGCTGAGTCTTTAGCCATCTTCAAGAAACTGCTAAAGACTCATCTCTTCCATCTACATTTGACCCTCTATCACTAGAACTCTCTATTTCATTTCTATTCAATCTATTTGTTTTCCTTTTTATTTATTATAGAAAAAAACTTGACCCTCTAACACTAGCACTCTCCATTTCTATTATATCTGCGTACCTTATTTTATTTATTATAAAAACATGACCCTCTAACCCAAGCATTCTCTATTCTATATCTATTCTATCTACTTGTTCTTTTCATTTAAAAACAACAAAAAATAAACCTTGACCCTCTAACATTAGCACTATCTATTCTATTTCTTTTCAACTTTTTATTCTCTTTATTTATTATTAAAAAAAAACTTGCTACGTGTACTGCGTTAGACGGGTCAACGCACTTATATATTGTTGCTCTTTTGTTGGTTTGATTGCTTCTATTTTCCTCATTTGTAAGTCACTTTGGATAAAAGTGTCTGCTAAATTATTAAATGTAAATGTAAATGTATTAATACATTAACAAATATGGATTTATGGAAGCGTTTTTGTGAAATGCATCTATTTTCCTATTCATCCTTGGTCATGTGAATAATTATGCACATTGTTGGGGCTGTGTAGTTAATC